ATTCCTGTTTTAGCAAATCTTGGATCTTTCTATTCAGTTTGCCACATGTCCCACCTATCAAAGTGTCATACCATTTTCACAAACCAAAATGACATGGACTAATGGTATCATGCTTATACTTTCTCCATCAAGGAAATAACCTTTCTAAACGAAGTGGACTGATGCCTGAGGTCTGGATGAGCCTGACAATGTTTATGCTTCCCAACTGAAACCACAAGAAATGTTTAATTGCTCTTTCAGTTTAGTGCATTCGACTGAAACCACTGTCTGAAACCTCTAGTAAATAATGGGTAGGTCACCTTAGAAAATCTATTGAGTCATCTGAGTGAAGTACAACATATCTACAGTTAATCTATAAAGAATGTTCTCAGTACTAAAAACACACCATGGAAACAAGTAACAATATACAGGAGCTCAACTTGTTAGAGCACTGGGCTGGGGTGCTTGTGACCCAGCTGCACCACAGGCCATGACTTCCTTCTGATAGGGGAGAGAGAAAGGAAAGAGGGAAGGGAGGTGGCTACCAATCTCAGGAGGATGAGAAGGAGAAGGGCCGTCCTGGGGGGGAGGGGAGGGGAGGAGGTGAATTGGGGCAATCGCCCCAGGCCCCATGCTGTGGGGGGCCCCACGGACCCAGGCAGAGTATCACAGCGACTCCGCACTGCCACTGGCTTCATGTCTGGCCACTTGCCACTCCCCCCTGCCCCCCGAATCTGCCGCTGGCTTCCTCCCATCCGGGGGCAGGCTGATTTGCCCTGAGCCCTGCACCCTGCTCAGATGGTCTCTGGGAAGGAGAGAAGAGAACTTCCGTTTGGCTGCAGAGGAGATCAGCTGTATGGTTCAAGGCAGAGCAGGAGACTTGAAGGGCCAAGCTGCACTGGGGCCCCTAGTTCAGGGGCCAGATCCTGCTGTAGACCATTAAGTTGAGCATATACCATTGCAGCCCAGTAAGAAACAAGTACTCACTGTTATTGTTTTGCTTTTTTTAATATCAGAGCTACTGTGGAAAAGATGGCATGTGACACCGAACCCTGCAATCTCCAGGAGTTTCACAGCTAAGCTTTAAAACCCTACTTCTTTGATTTGAATAATTAAGAGAATAGCTATTGTCAATGTCAATTAACCTGAAGAAAAGGCAAATTCAAATCTACTTCTCACTTTCTCCAGAAAGACCAACTTAGATTAATTTTGCTTCACTCCAAGGTTTCTGTCTCTGTGCGTGTCATGCCCATGAATGTTGACAGAGCTGAAAATATATGGGCCTACCTGTGCCTGGCACAACACCCCAGGAACCACATGTCTCAGTTAAAGGCCAACAACTGTCAATGGTCAACCACTTTACCTATTTCAGCAGCACGCTCTCCTGTGCATCAACTGCAAAATCAACACGAAGCTAGCAAAAGCCACCATGGCCTTCAGCAGACTCCGTAAATTGATCTGGGACCACAGAGGCATCAGAATGTGGATGAAACTGAAGTTTTACAAAGCCACCACTCTCCCAACCCTCCTTTATGCCTGTGAAACCTGGACTGATTACCAGTGTCATGCCAAGAAATTAAACCACTTTCACATGTGCTGCCTGCGAAAGATACTAAAGATCAAGTGGCAGGACAAGATCCTGGACCCCAAGGTGCTCAGAAGATCAGCTCTCCCCAGTATCCACACCCTACTGAAACTGGTGTAGCTAAGATGGGCCGGCCACCTTTCAAGAATGCCCAACACTCACCTTCTGAAGAAAATCAAGGACCTCTCATGTCCAGTCTTCATCACTCTCCTGCCCCTGATGCAGCAGATTATTCAGGGCAAAGACTGGATTTATAAGTCACCTGCATACCCATGCAACCTAGCATCCACCCCCCTCCTCTCTCTTCTTTCTCCCTTTCTCTTTTCTCCTTCCCTTTTTCTTTCCCACTTCCTTTCTCTCTTCTTCCTCTCCTTCCCCCCACTGGATGCAGTCATCTTCGCTTGCAAAGGATGAACCACACCCTTTATATGCACACCATGGGTTCATGTTGTATTACAGCAATAAAAAGCCATTGCCTGTCTGATTAAAGTATTGCCTCCCTCCCACAAATACTATCTATCCCTTTTCACATCAAACTTTAAGGCTCTTTGACAGATCAAGTTAGGAGGCAGGATGTTCCTGCTGCTGGAGAAATACTGAGCTTTAATTTATTTGAATACTGTATTTACTCATTTCCAAGATAGGGTCCCCCGTCCCTCCCATTTAACCTGAGGAAAAAAGCCTGTTTTGGAATGGAGTACAAGGAAGCAAAGGACCTTTCTCCTGATTCTTCCTCCATCTCCAATCCCACCCCCCACACACGCACTTACCCTTCCTCCATTGCTCCCACCACTCGGAAGGTAGTGGGGAGGGCAGGCAGCAACAGGGACAAGTGGGGGAGGGGGCAAGAAAGGTGGCAGGGGAAAGTTGCTTGATTCTTTCCCCCATCCCCACCCACAACCTGCCTCCCTTCCACTTGCCCCCCACCACCTGCCTCCTTTACACTGCCCACTGCCCCCCCACCCCCGCTTTCCCTTATACAGAAGTCGAGGGGTTGAATTTAAGATGATTCTCAAATTGTTAGATTCTAGACATGGAAAATTATAACAAATTTATAACTTTTCCATGTTTATAATCTAATTATTGGGGGATGGGGGTAGACTTAAATTCAGGGTCATCTTGGATTCAGGTAAACATAATACATTGCAAACTCCTGATACACATGTGAAAAAGTAGGCAAACAATCTGAAGATGCATCTTAATCCCTTTAATAAAAATCAAAACATGCCCGACTCCTTAATCTTTCAACATTCTTATTACATCTGTATTTTATACCATTTGAAAATCCTTAAAACTAACTAGATTTAAAGAAAAAAAAAAAAGCAAAACAAACCCAAACAAAGATGACCCATTGATTATTGTATATATCCCCAGATCGTGCCATATTTTACATTCCATCCAATTCTTTGCAAAGATAAAAGCTATTATTTGTTTTTTTAAGGACAATTTATTGCTGCATTTATATAAACCATGATATTTTTCAAGAAACTAAATTATGGCCAGAAAAATCACGTAGCTGCTAATAAGAACTATATCCTGAAGCTAATATCTCACTGAAAAACACCAAATGTCACCAGACTGATCTGATACTTGGGAAAATGTATGCAGTTAGCATCTGTATGCATATTACCACCAGCTGTTTACAAGTATTCTTTGTATATAAATACCAACTGTGAATGAAATTATTTTGAGACACACATTCAGATAAGGGTTTAAGATCTGTCTAGTTTCAAGGCACCAGTGAGCAGTTTTGCAACTCTGATTAAGTGCTACATAGTGTTTTTTTAGAGATGTTCTAGACCAATATGGATGGCTGATACTGATCCAATTGCCAATATGCAGCTGGGCAGCTTGGAGAGCAGCACCCGGCCAGTAAATCTGTTGTAGGGGAAGGTGCAGGGGGTTGGAAAGGGCATGGGGGCTGGGGGGAGACAGATCAAGGCCCCACGGTGAGGGAGAGAGTGGGGCCACCCAGCTGGGATGGGGCACAGGATGCAGCTGTGAGCAGCTAATTTGTGGGGCCTGGTGGGGGGTGGCTCCCATTGCTGCATGCACCCCCAGGGAGGCATGGGGGGTGTGGGCCCTCAGATCTGCATGCGGAGCGAGAGTGGGTTGAAGCTGGGACTGTGCTGGGCTCTTCCCAGCAGGGGGCTGGACCAAGCTGCACTCGGGGGAGGCTGTGGCAGTGCTGGAAGGGGAGCTCTGGGAGGGGCTGCAGCCACCCCAAAATTCACCATGGCCCCTCCCTTTTCCCCGCTCCCAGCACTGCTCCGCCTGCCCAAAATGCAGTCCGGCCCAACATTCCTGTCGGGAAGAGCCTGGTGCCACTCTGACCCCAGGCCACTCTTGCCCTGCACACAGATCTGGGGGCACATGACCCCCCTATGGTCTCCTGGGGTATACACAGCAGCAGAAGCTGCTTCCTCTCTCTGCACGTTGCTCAATCCCGTGACACACTCCAGCTGGGCAGTGCCTGCCCCTGCCTCTGCCCAAGCCCCAGCCCCAGCCCCATTCCCTCCCTCACAGCTGGGGCTTCAGTGTGCCCTCCCCATACCCTTCCCCCACAGCACACTTACCAGTTGGACCCAGCTGCTCTCCATGCTGCTGAGCTGTGCTTCTGGATGCTTGCATACTGCACTGCGGCTGCACGCATGCATGCATGTGGCATACACAAATTATTAATAAAACTCTTTTATCAAACAAATGCCTCAAGGCACTAAGTACTGTAAAATGTCTGAAATAACAGCGTGACAAAATAATAAGCAAACTGGTTTATCACAAAACTATCTAAAATCTCAGAACACTTTGACAAAACCAAAAACACTTCACCAGTCTGTTGGTGCTTTTTAGTGGGACTATTTGATGGAAACGGACATGAACCAAACAACCATACAGTAAAAACAATGAATTCAGAATTGGGAAAATCCTGTAGGATGCCATTTGGTCAGGGTCTTCCACAAAGAATTTCAAGGCCTTATTAACCTTCATCCAATTAGCTTGAATAATTTTCTCTCTGAAAAGCAATATTTGGTGCTATTATTTATTGGACAAACTGCATAGTTGGGAGAAATATTAAACAAGCTCTCAGGCAGCACAAAGTTCCCTTTCTTCAGAGGTCAACCTCATTGACTTAGACATCAGTAAAGTCTTTGGTTCCGTTTCCCATGAGGTTCTCTTAATTAAACTGGAAGGTACTGGCCCAGACCAGTCTACAGTGAGGTGGGTAGACAACTAGTTCAGAGGCTGATCCTAGAGAGTTGTAATTGCTGGGACGGCCTCATCCTGGAGGACCATCTCCAGTGGTGTCCCCCAGGGACCAGTGCTTGGGCTTGTGCTCCTTAACATCTTTATCAATGACTTGAATAAAGGGGTGGAAAGCAC